TTACCATTAGTTGAGGTCTAAAGTTCGTCTTAGTTGATTGGAAAATGTAAAAATAGACGGATACACTACGACAGGGGTAGTATTATTAATAGGATAGTTAATACTCCGTATAATATTATGACTTGGATAAGTACTAAAATAATATTAATAGGTATAACACTCGAATCCGTCCAGGTCTGCAACCCCTTTCGGACTAAAGTATTAACTTGGTAATCGTGAAATTTAAAACATTTCAAACACTTTTATTTATCACAACAATATTTTTCATATCATAAACAGTACGGAGTTTTCAATATTGCGGAAGTTTAACAAATCATAATGACAAACACAATTTATTTATGTATACCAATTCAAAACCATCACATCTATTCCGACAATCTCGCATCCGTCTATCTCCAGGATCACGTCACATCATCCTATTGACCTGCGTGTAGCAAATAAAACATACTACACGCTCAGCGTTGAAGCTAAGTAAGCATATCTAATGCATCGAACATCCACATAAATTGAATCGCAATTCATAATCAACCATTTGATATCATGCACATAATGTTCAGTTCAGATATTTAATAATCATTAGTCAGTATTCATCATTCATTATTCAACCTTTGTATTCATATTTGACGTTCATCGGTTATTCATAATATTCACAATATTCGATTCGATAATCATCATTCAATATTCATTCATATTCAATGGTCATCTGTCATTCATAATAATCACAATATTCAATTCAATAATCATCATTCAATATTCATTCATATTCAAAATTCGACAATATCCTTAAACTATTCTTAGTCTCAGGCCAATCACTTTAATGTTTATCAACCCTTAAATGAATTCTAGTTTAAATAATTAAACTATATTCCAGTATAAAGTACTCCTAAATAATCCTTAAGTTAGGCATAATTTAAGATAAAAGGGTTTTCAAAATCTTAAACTTACCTTCATTTAAGGCCAACCAGAAACCAACAGCGTAGTGTTCACTGTTGGGTGGGTGGTACCCCCAAACGAGTAGGTACTCAAGTTTGGTTCTTGGATCCCGTACGTACGTTTTAACCCTAGCCACCGGGGTTCATACCCGCAAGGCCTAACTTAAATAGGTACTCCCTCCGTTCTCAAAAATACTTCCTCTTTCATTTTTTTTCACTTCCAACAAAACACTTCCCCTTTCTATTTAAAAACCACTTTTACTCTTACTTTTTCATACCCTACCTATCACATCATACTTTTTCTCTAATAATAAATCCATCACATCTTACTTTTACCCATCACATCAGGGGCAAAATTGGAAGTCAACTATAATTTTACACTTCCTTATTTTGCCCCATAGTCAAAGTGGGAAGGCTTTTTCCAAACGGAGGGAGTATATCTTAGAGGTCTTCTAGATACCTTTCAAATCAACATTAATATGGGTATATCTTAGAGGTCTTCTAGATACCCTTAACAATATATTATTTTCACAATCATCAATATATTCATTATGATTTAATCATTCACAATTATCATTTTTAATCAAAATATTTATTAAGATTTAATCATCATAATTATCAATCAATAATCATTACCATAATCATCTATTAACATAATATTTAATAACAATTAGCGGCCTAGCTTCGGGTGTTAACACCCTAACTTACCGTCATGCATCACATAACATGTTAAAACTATTACTTTTAATGTGAAAAATCATTTTTATAATGATCATAATCAATTGGTATCAAAAATAGGATTTTATAGCTCAAAAATAACATTTTCAGACAAACTTTCAGATCAGAAATTCGGGGGATCGATCCAGACTGCAAAGAAAGCTCCAGGTGATCAATCCAAGGGATGTGATCGATCCATCCTGCATATTTTCAGCTACTATTCATCTTCTTGAACCATACCATTTTTATTTATCGAACTTCAACGAAACTATATAGAGATGTTCTCCAAGGTTCATAGATCATTTTGGCATCATTAATTCATAGTTTTAACATCAATTTAATGGGTTATGATTCTTGGTTCTTCAAGCATGTCAAACACAAAACTCAACCAAATGAGCATTTATGAAAGTAGAAACGATCTATACGAATATTCTAGTCATTAGATATATCTACGGGCTTACGTCGAAGCTTATCGAAGGTTTTGAGAATTTTTTGGCGAAACTTCCGGCGATAATAACTCCCAACTCCGACGACTTCGGCGACCACCAACTACTGCAACATGTTCTCCTCACTCTCATTAACACTTTGGTACTAAATTCATTAGTTTTTGGTGAAGAATGAGAAGGTTGATGGTGGCTTATATAGGAAGAGAATGGGGAAGTGACAATATTGCTGCGTAGGATTTGAGTAGGAATACATCTTCGATTGGCTGAGTGGAGTAGGTGGCGCCGTCCCTGATTGGGACTAATTTTGGTCCCAGTCGGGGTACACTTTTTGGTCCAACTTTCTTCGAATTTAATTCCGTTTGCACAGTTGTGATCGGACAGTTAAACTTTATCCAACGATATAATTTTCATAATTATTTGTAATACTTTTTCTGACATCATATTTTTGGGTGTTTGACTTTAACAGAGTCAAAATTGGTTTAATTGACTTTTATCATAAAAGGTTTTCACACTTTATTTATTCTCATGGTTTATTTCAAGAATTTATTTCAAAGTTCATATCACAACAATATCTTCATTTATCCCTGATTTGGGTCTATACTCTGGTTCTCAATCAAGGTCACACAATAAGTCAATCAGGTTGAATTTATCTCTATAAAATTTATCCGAATTATGATATTGGATATCAGAACATATTTTATTTTGGCCCAAAGCCTAACAATAATTTATTATAATCAAAACAAATTTTGTTTAATTGAATATTTAATTCAATAAATTTTAGGGTATATTTTGGGGCGTTACATGCATATGTCACCTACCTCCCATCCATTTAGCCCAAAATGTAGTCTCCCAAACGAGAAGGAGGTTTACGAGCTCGATGACCGCACCCTCCAGTTTCAATCGTAACATTTCTTCCCTTGTTGAAAACAGCATTGACCTCAAGGCAAAATTCCGGAAACGTACCGTGAATCGTGAGCCAATCCTCCTAAGTGGCCTCAACTGGTTTCATGTCTTCCCGTTGCACTAATTAAGGCTTGTTGCCCCTTCTTGCCACGAATGTTGAGAACCCGTTGATCCAAAATACAGGCGGGTTATGGAAAATGGGCTGCCAGTGCTAGCGGGTGGTTAATCGTAACCGTGGTTGGATTTGGGCACCACTCAAGGGAGGAGATGTGGAATACTGGATGTAGACGGACTGACTCCGGTAAGGTCAGGCGGTACGCCACCTTCCCAATGCGAGATTCAACCTGAAACGGCCCGTAGTAGCGTTGGGTGAGCTTTTGGTGCCGACGGTTCCTCATGGAAAGTTGGCGATAGGGCTGCAACTTGATGTACACCCAATCCCCAACCCAAAATTCTTTGTCACACCTAGACTTATCCGCTTGGGTGCGCATGCGCTGCCGTGCATGTTCAGGGTTTAACTAGAGTTGGGCGAGTAACTCCTTTGAGTTGATCAAAACACGGTCCAGTTGCGCAAATCGTGTAACCAATGAGCGGGGGTGGAAGCCGGCCGAAGACAGTTTTGAAGGGTGAGAAACCCTTTTGAGCTATGGATGTTGGTGTTGTACAAATATTCAGCCCACAACAATACGATCATCCACCGAAGTGGGTTGCCATTGACAAAGGCTCAAAGATACATTTGGAGGCAGTGATTCACCACCTCTGTTCGCCCATCGGTTTAAGGGTGGTATGCAGTACTAAGCTTGAGCTGGGTGCATTGAAGTCAGAATAACTCACGCCAAAACCTACCCATAAACACAGGATCCTGATTGGACATGATGGACTTGGAAAAATCATGTAAACAATTAGTCAATTATGTAAGGGTTATTTTTTATGTACGTCCGTGTTAAATGTTAAAATAACTACGGAGTATGTCATAAATTGACTAAATGTATTATGTGATATTATTGATTTATTAGTATATATTTAAAATATACCTGAACTAATATAAACCTAAACCGAAACAAACTCAAATCGAACTGATACAAACCTGAACCGATATAAACTCGATCCGATATAAAGTCAAATGAATACAAACCCGAACTAAAAACCGAACCGAAACCAAAAACCAGTCAAACCGAAATACACCTAGAATAAAACTGACATGACCCGAACTGATTAAAACATATATCCAAAAGAGACCCGAACTGAAAAGATCCAAACCGGAACCGAACCGATTGACCCAATTGTCAGGTCTAGTGCAAATGTCATCTGTTCCAGGAACCAATTTAAATCATTTGTTTCAAATTTTTATGTTTGATTGAATTTATTTTTAAATCATTTTATATGAAAAAAGGTATAGAATTAAAAAAAATAAAAATTACATATTTAAAAATTACGTTAAAAGATTTATAAAACTAGTGGTGAAATGTCTGTATTATTTTATCAAATGACTAACAAAAATAAGAAAAGAAAATGAATAAAGTTTAACCGTGTACATAGTAAACATGCAATTTAATTTGAATCAAAGGAAGTAGAATTTAAAATCTAGAATTGGTATGTTTAGAATTTTAGTTTTTAAATATTAATAAAAGAAACAATTTTTTAAGAAAATATTTTCTTTCTTACCAAAACGGAAAATATGATTGGAAAATAATTTTTCTCGTAAATCATTTGTGTTTGGTAAATATTCTTGAAGGAAAATATTTTTCCCTCAACCAAACACAACCTTGGTCATGAAAAAATTGCAGACATTTTATGTTTACCATGTGCCATTCGACGTAAGACATCTATTTGGCAAATTATACTCTCAAAATATCACATTATCACGTATAAGAGAAAGCTTATCAACATTACCAAGATGGCTGCCTATATTTCTTTAAAAATTGGTTACTTAAATATGGAGGTACGATTATCATGATATGTATTATATACGCATTCCATACACATATACATAAATATATTTCTTGGCTCTGCTCATATATTCATGATTCATCCATGTTCCTTATACTTACAAGTTCTATGTACCTAAATGCATAATCAGGGTTTTTTAACAAAATGCATGCATAGTTCTTGTAAAACAACCAAACATATCTTAGAGCACGTTAAAGTCAAAGCTTTTGGCAGCATGGTTTTGTGCCACAACACTTGACTCCCTGGACAGACAAATGAATTACATTCCCCTGGATATGCTTCTGGGCTATGCCAGATCTTGAATGCAACGCCCATGATGTATATAACCTCTGTCCAGCTTCTTGAGAAAACCCGTTATTGCTCAGGTCTAACCGCTGCAGATGTTTTGCCATTTCAATAGCAGTTGAAAGCTCTTCAATGAGCAACTTGCATTCTGAGTTGTGAACTGAAGCAGATGTGGCAGCAATGCTTCCTTCTGCATCATTTTCACTATCAGGAACTTCGAGTTGACTACAACCTGTGCAAATCTCCTTTTCCGAAGCAATAGAGCTCTTTGATGGGTTGGGGTCTGTATGGAGTTCATCAAGATTGTGTACATTTTCAGCAAGATTGAGCTCTTCCAAATAACAGTTTTCTGATAGTCCCTTGAGTATCCCGAGAACTTGCGGGATGCCGAGTTGGCATTTGCATAGTATCAAAACTTTTAGGGAACATTGAGGATTAGTAAGCAAAGATGCCAGTTCAGTTCCACCCTGTAAAAAATTACCATAGAAGGCATGCATTGCTTATGATGTAATTACACATTAATGCACCCAACAACACTAAACTTGGTGGCCTTTTGGTAATGGTAGTTTTTGGTTTATAAACTTTATCAGTTAGATCACCTTGATTGAGTATGAAATCGTAATTATGCAATTGTATTGATGGAAACAACTTATAATTAAAAATTGGTATACAAGATTGTTTTTAAAATTTACTGAAAATCTTAACCATAGTTGTATGTCTGACAAAAAAAGTTGTAACACAAACACCAGTATATAAAAATTAAAATGGTTAAACTCACCTCTTCCATGATGGGATTCCCTCCAAGATTCAGTTCAACAATAGAATTTACAAGAGAGACTCCAGTTTTGAATCTGGGAATGCAAACAGAAGTCAATCCACAAGATGATAGGTCAAGTTTCCCTGTTTCTGGAGTCTTCTCAGAGAGTGATTGAAATATTTCAAGTGCTCCATCCTGCAGAAACAATTATACCCAAGTAAAAATTAAGAACTACCCAAAATTCAAAGTCACTTGGCGAAGAAGTTAATGCTCAACACACTGGCATAAGAAAGTAGGCAATTTGCTCACATTTCCAATACTGGTACTTCCCAGTATTAAGTCAGACAAGCTAGTCTTCTTAACAAGCTCACAAAGTTTTTCCACCACTGATTTGCTCAACTTCAATCCACTCAACCCAAGCTCTTGAAAACTGCAGATAACCACATGTCAGAAGCGACGAATGGCACCTCAAATTGTATGCAATGAATGAATAAATAAATCCAAAAAATTTTACTCATTCAAACTGGTGAGTTTAGCCAAGACGTTCATTATAGCATTCCCAGACACTGGATGGTTGTATCCTGTTCACTTGAAAATTAAAAAATATCACATGCAATAAAACACAATAAATTAAAAATAAACCTTGTTTAAACTTGAAAGATACTGTAGTACCTAAATAAAGATGTGTGAGAGCAGATCCTGAATCCAGTGAATCAGCAATTTTTTGAACTGTTCTTGATGTGATGTAACATTGTTCTATGTTTAAGCTATACAGGGCTTTTTTAAATGCCAAAATATAACATATTAGAGACTCAACAGTTCAACTTATTCATGAATTAAATGTATCCTAGAACAGAAACATGTCAATATAGGAGACTAATACCTTTGCATTTTTGCAAGATGGTTGAAATGTAAGATGCACATGCATCAGTCAAACGGTTCCTGGAGATGTTTAGCACTTCTAGCCGACTATATAGCACCTTACATTCACATACCT